TAAAGATAGGATAAAGTAGGACTTAATATAAAGATGGGATAAAGCAGGACTTAGACACTATGTAGTCGATATATAAAGATGGGATAAAGCAGGACTGCGATACTATGTAGTCGATATATAAAGATGGGATAAAGCAGGACTTAGGTACTATGTAGTCGATATATAAAATAAAGCAGGACTTTGATACTTTGTGGTTGATATATAAAGATGGGACAAAGCAGGACTATGATACTTAGTCGATATATAAAGATGGGATAAAGTAGGACTTAGATTCGATGTAGTCAATATATAGCGGTCGCCGTAGCAGTAATAGGAACTGGCTGCTATGTAATAGGTATGCATACGCTCCAGTCGCAGTAATGGTATAAGCCGGGAATCAGCTATTATGCAGTGGATATATACCGGCTGTCGTAGCAATAACGGGGTGACACATAAATGTGGTACAAAATGCAGAGCAACATAAAAGCCAAATCACAAATGAGATAGAAAACTGCGTGACAAACGTATTAGAAATACTTTAATACCAGAGGTTGATTTCCGAGTTTCGATTGCCAGATCGAGCGGAAAAGACACAACGAGGATAAAACAGTCTTGGCATGAACATCTTTCTCTTTAAAATGTCTGGATACGATCCATAGCTTTACCAGTACAGATACGTATACTGGCTCTCTAGGCATCGACCACCAGTACTTTCACCGTACATACAAAAGCGTGCACAAAATAGCTATAATATAAAGCTTGATATCTACCCGATCATACTACTGTCAATCGCACACATTCCCATTCTTTTCGCTATGCGACGTTCTGCATGATTAAGCACACCTGCATGTCTGCACGTTAGTAAATTCTTACGGCAACAGCAGAGTAATTGAGTAAGAGTTGTAGAGTGCCACATGAACTATCTATATACGAGCACAAGCAAGCTCAACGGCATTGTAGCTGGTGTCACAAGTTTAGTCCAATCCTTCAAGACAATACATAGAAGTATCGATAATTTTCATATAGGTACTCCGATAAACATATACATACGCAAACAGAATAGCACGTATACACATACAGACATCTCTGCCCTAGATATGAACACCGCTTCTTCCAAATACCTTGACACTGATATCAAGCGTCTCATTTGTCGAGACAACAGTCGGTATACCCAGTGTGGCCTGCACCAATCCAACACTAACACGGCTAGTAGCCAAAGACGTGAAGCCGCCGGCTGTACTGAGCACTCGCAGATAATAGTCGTTCATACCAGAAGCTAATAAACCGATGGTTAACTCACCTGTGCTGTGTTGTGGTATAAGCTATCTGATAAATATCATGTGTCGCCTAATTGGGTGGCTTACTGCCTAGTATTTAAAAGCTCATCTACCGTTGAAAGATCACGGTTTTTACCATTCATGGAATGAGAATGAGAAATCAAAACGTGTAATATCCAACGTAGCATAGAAAACAGTCGAAACATATTGCATCGGGCTTACATATATAT